GGGGAGGAGGAGGAGGAGGAGGAGGAGGAGGAGGAGGAGGAGGAGGAGGAGGAGGAGGAGCAGGAGGAGGAGGAGGAGGAGGACTAAATGGGCTAAATGCAAAGCGACAGGGGAGTCGCGCGGGAGAAACCCCGGGGCCGCAGGAGGACACGAGCCTCCGCAACCCCAGGGCTGTCGGTGCCGCAGGAGGAACACGAGCCTCCGCGGCGCGAAGCTGCCGCTGCAGGAGGAACACGAGCCTCCGTAGCGGGGGGGGGGGCGCAGGAGGAACACGAGCCTCCGCGCCCCGAAGCCAAGCGAGCCGCAGGAGGAACACGAGCCTCCGCAGCCCTCAAGACTTGGCCATTTTCTCGGGCAGCTCCCCGAGCATCAAAACTTGGCCAACTTCACGGGCCAGCCTCGCTGTTGTCGAACAGTTGCGACGACTCGAAGCCCGCGCCGAGGACCTCCCCGCAGGCGGCCACATGCGCGGATCGGGCCTCCGCCAACTGGGACTCCAGCATCATCACGGCGCACGCGGTGCCCAGGACCATCTGCTTGGCAGCCATGACGGTCAGTGGCAGCCGCTTCTCCCTGGAGTCCTTTACGACGAGCTTCTCAGAGTCGCGCTTGGTCTCCCCCTTGAACAGCTGAGTGTTCTCCAGGGCCAGCTCGTCAATGGCCGACCCCACCGCCTTGACCTCCAGGGTGGCCTGGCATCCAGGGGCGCACTTGAAGTCCTTCTTCATCAGCTCCCCCTTCGGCTGAGCGCAAGGGTGCAATGAGACCTTCTCCTGCAGCTCCTCCTTATCGTCCTTCAGGTCGTCCGTGGTGGGAGCCGACGCTGCATCGCCAGCCCCACGACGGCGGCCACGCGCCCGGCGCCGGGCCTCGCCGGCCGTGGTGGGCACCGCCTGCGGCCCTGCGCCGAAATCGGCGTGTTGGGCCCAGCCGCGGAAGGCGCGACTGGTCCCAGAGGGCCGAGCCACGACACCTTCGCGGCCCGCCCGCACCATCTCGGTCAGGTGGGGCCTTCCAAGCTGCTCCCTCGCTGTCACCTCCTCGTCCACCTCGGAAGCCAGGCGCTGGGCGAGGAGAGAAGCGCCCACGCGAAGGGCCGAAGCGACAGCGGCGGCCAACACCTGCCGCCCGCCGCCGCCTTCCGCAGCCCCAGCAGCTGCCGCCTTGACCAGCGGCACAAGCAACGCCACCCGCTCCCCGACGAGGGGAGGGACCGCCGCCATCGCCCGAGCCGCGGCAGGGGGCAGCAACAGCCCGCCTGGCGCCCAAGCAAGCTTAAGCCAAAATGGTTACGGAGGAGGAGGAGGAGGAGGAGGAGGAGGAGGAGGAGGAGGAGGGAGGAGGAGGAGAGGAGGAGGAGGAGGAGAGAGGAGGAGGAGAGAGGAGAGGAGAGAGAGGAGGGAAGGAGGAGAGAGGAGGAGAGGAGAGAGGAGGAGGAGGAAGAGGAGGAAGAGAGAGGAGGAGGAAGAGAGAGGAGGAGGAAGAGAGAGGGAGGAAGAGAGAGGAGGAGGAGAGAGGAGGAGGAGGAGAGAGGAGGAGGAGGAGGAGGAGAGAGGAGGTGGAGGAGGAGGAAGAGGAGGGAGGAAGAGGAGGATCAGAGGAACATGACGTATTGACATGGATAATTTTCAATATTGTCAGGTTTCTTGTTCTTCCGCGCGGGCTCCAGGGACGAATGGTCGAGCGCATTCCGTCGCGCAGGTTCTTTGCGTGAGGTGCGCGGTGCGTTTTTCGCGCATCGGAGCGCCCTCGGAGATTCCAAGCTGCATTTTGTTTTGCCCTTTGGGAGTCCGTGAGTCGCAGCTGCCGCGGCGCGATTTTCGAGGTAACCCCTTCGAGTGCTGTTCGCGGGCGCAGGGCGCGGCGCGCGCTGCGCCCAATCGCACGCGGCGCGGTGCGTGAATCAGCCAGCCGCGCCCGTCGGACCGTCCGGATATGATTTCCGGATTGTAGAACGTTTCGAAAAATGCTTCCGGTTTCTTTTGGGCGCAAGCGGTTCCGGAAATTGTCAGAAATGAGTCCAACCATTTTCATAACAAAAATAAAAGAATTTGGGGTGGAATGCGTCCGCCGCGCAGGACATCTGAAGGATTCTGAAATTTGGAGTTTTTCGAAATGTATTCCCGAAGTTTTTCAAAACCGAACCATGTTTTTTTCAACATCGGTTCTGATATTGTTCAGAAAGTAGGCCGGACATTTCAAAAGCGTTTCCGGATTTTTCAAATCTACCCCCGGAGAATGTTCCAGAGTCGCGCGTGATTTGCTTTACCAGGTCTTTGGAAATCCGCCGAGGCGCGCAGTGCGCGGCGGCGGGCGACAGGACGGTGCGCCACCGTCCCCCCAGCGCTTGGCAGCGCAAAGGGGGATCAGCAAGTGCCAAATACCCCCCTACGGGCGACTACTCGATTGCGAGTCTGTGACCGACCAGCGGCGCTAGGCAGAGTAGACCATATTCGACGCAAGGTGTACCCCGCAAAAACGGCATAAAAATAATGTTTGGCGCTCCGCGCGGATTCCTCGGATCCGCGCTGGCCCCCCCTCCCGGCGCCGCCGAGTCCAAGAAACCCGTGCAGAGCACCAAGAGCTTTTGCTTATGCCGTCCATTCCTTTTCTAGAGAAGAGCGAAGCTTCGGGCTCGAGGCCCGAGGTCTTCGGACGTGCTCGTCGGTTCTAGGCGGTTGTCCAGCCTCGGGGTGCGTTCCAGCGGCTGCGCCTCGCCGAGGACGTTCCGGGGGTGCCCGGATCGTCCCGAAAGGCCACAGGAGAGCCGAGTTATGACCCAAAACCACCAGGCGTCCGAGAAGGAGGAGGCCTTCTCAGAGGGCGGCGGGGCTTTTTCGGAAAGCCTCCAGCCTTCTGAGGGGTGTTGTTTTGTGTATGCTCCGAAAACTTCTCAGAAGGCTGGGGGGCTTCCGCGCTTTCTGAGAAGGCCCGCCCCTTTTCACCATGGATCGACCTAAAAGGTGTTTTGGCGATTTCGCGGGCCGTTCTCGTTTCTGCTTCGTCTTGCGGCAAAGGCGGTTCAGGGCGATTCCTATTCCTCACTTCCTCCCCCGTGCTCGCCGCCGAACGTCATTCTGCCGGGGGCCCTGGTCGTCTGCATCGGCAGCTGGCTCCACAAGCGGCAGGCGGCGCTGCCCAAGCCCGTGTTCGGTGCCTCGCCGTCGTCGTCGTCGTCGTCGTTGTCGACGTCGTCGTCGCCGTCGACGCCGTCGTCGTCGTCGTTGACGTCGTCGTCGTTGTCGTCGTCGTCGACGTCGTCGACGTCGTCGTCGTCGACGTCGTCGTCGTCGCCGTCGTCGTTGTCGACGTCTTCGTCGACCAACGTCGTCGGCGTTGTCGTCGTCGACGTCGTCGTCGTCGACGTCGTCGACGTCGTCGACGACGTCGTCGTCGTCGCTGTCGTCGTCGTCGACGTCGTCGACGTCGTCGTCGACGTCGTCGTCGTCTTCGACGTCGTCGACGTCGTTGTTGTCGACGTCTTCGTCGACCAACGTTGTCGACGTCGTCGTCGACGTCGTTGTCGTTGTCGTCGTCGACGTCGTCGACGTCGTCGTCGACGACGTCGTCGTCGTCGCTGTCGTCGTCGTCGACGTCGTCGACGTCGTCGTCGTCGTCGACGTCGTCGTCGTCTTCGACGTCGTCGACGTCGTCGTCGACGTTGTCGTCGCCGTCGTCGTTGTCGACGTCTTCGTCGACCAACGTCGTCGACGTTGTCATCGTCGTCGACGTTGTCGTCGTCGTCGTCGACGTCGTCGACGTCGTCGTCGACGACGTCGTCGTCGTCGTCGCTGTCGTTGTCGTCGACTTCGTCGACGTCGTCGTCGTCGCCTCGGTCTCGCGTGCGCGGCGCTGCTGTTCGTGTGCCTCGCGGCCCCTGCGGCGCTCGACGCGCAGCTGGGGGCCGCCGCACCGCAGCCGTCAGAGCAGCCCGCCCAGAGCGCGCCCAGGCCGCACAGCCCGAGGAAGGAAAATCGGCACAAGCAGCAGGTCGGGAATGTCCCTACAGGAGGAATATTCGAGAACAATTAAAATCGAATAATAATAATAAGAAGAAGAAGAAGAAGAGAAACAAACAAATGCCACAACCATAAACTGTTGGCGCTCCGCGCGGATTTCTTGGATCCGCGCTGGACCCCCCTCCCAGGCGCGTGGAGCGCGCCAAGGGCGGCGCCGTAGGCGCCGCTGGGGGGTTCCAACGCGGATCCAAGAAATCCGCGCAGAGCGCCAAAGGTTTGTGTTGATGGCGTTGTTTCGTCTAAGTAGGTCGGGCATCCCTCTACAGGAGGCATGTTCGAGAATGGCAGGAAAGGATAGTCTGGGGACGATCTGTCGTGTTCTTCTGATTATTTTGAATTATTTTCTGACTCTGCTTGATTCTTCTTCGAAGCTCCGCCTGCAGGAGGACGTGCCCGACCTAACACAAGCACAAAACAAGTCTTCCTGGGAGCTTCGCGCGGAGTTCTCGGGTCGGCGCTGGGCCCCGCCGGCGGCGCCTCCAGCGCCTCTCCCGGAACGCCAGGGAGGGGGGTCCAGCGTCGATCCGAGAAGTTCACGCGGATGCGGCGCGGGGGGGGGCATGGGTGAGTGACCGAGCGAGTCCCACTAAGTTATTCGCAAAGTGCCTACTCGCAAACGTCCGAGAGTCATCTGCTTGCCTCGATGTAACATCTCGTGAATCCCCCGCGGCGAATCCAGGCCATGTGCGAGTAGTCGTGGAACGCGCTTGTCTACTTTAGGAACGTGCCCAGGAGGCGTCAGACCCTGGACGATCCCGTGTCTGAACTTGATGAGGGTGGCAACGATACCCGTGGCCAGTCCGCGCATGGAATTTTGCCGGCTTCCAGATCTTGGGTTCTTTGAGGCGCTGAATTTCGGATCCTTCTTGGTTCGGAAGGGGCTCGCCGTTCCGCAGGTCATTCCATGGTTGCTCCTGCGGCCCTCCTCGTGCACCCAGCCTCTTTCGTTGCCAAAAAAGAGACATCGTTCCTTATTTGGCGTCCCTAATTCCAGCAGCTTTTCCAATAGTTCCTCATGCAGTGCCCTCGCCGTCTGTTTGTGCCGCTGTTTCTTCGTCCAACAGCGGGGAGCTGCGCCTCGGCAGCCAGGGGGCTTTTGTCACGGTGTCGGACCCGCGGGACCCCGAAAACAAGGCGGAGGGCGTCCAGGATCTGGAGGTCGAAAAGGGGTGTGGCAAAGAGGAGTGTGATGCCAATCGTGGAAATGACGATGCTATCCACGATAGATAACCTCGCCAGATCCAGCATTGGCACCACACCCCTTTACACCACACCCCTTTCCTACCCCCAGACAGGAGGATTGGAAGCAGGCCCTCTGGGTCTCCATGACCCAGGCGATCAATGGCGGCCAGGAACAGGTCGTGATGGTCTTCTCCCGCGAGGGCTGCCCGTGGTGCGACAGGCCCTTGCCCGTCCTCAAAATAAGTATTCGAACATGCGAGAAACACACAAGCGACAAAACAGATAATGCAAGATATGCACGCGCGCACACACACACATTGTTTGGCGTCGTGGCCTGCGTGCGACGACGGGGCGTAGAAAGTCGGGTACAGGCAGTGCAGCGCGCGCGCGTGTACGCCCGGCTCTCAGAGACACACACACACACAAAAGGCTCCTGCCCGTCCTCGAGAAGGCCATAGCCACCCGCGCGGCCATCGCGAGCCCAGGCGCGGGCGGGCTGGCCAGCGCGCCGCTGCGCGTCTTCATCTACGACGCGGGCGAGTTCGAACCCATCGTGGAGAAGTTCCAGCTGCGGGGCTTCCCCAGCATGCTAGTTTTCGGGAGCCCGGGCGTCAAGCCCCGCATGGCTGCCGGGTATCTCGGCGATGAAGACTTTGCGAGGTTCCTGGACGAGGTTGCGTATGCCCAGCCGGAGCCCGAGGTTGCGCCGAAGCCGGCGAGACGGAAGTTCTTCGGATTGCGTTGAGCACCGTTTTGGCGATCGTATCGTTACCGTTCGCTCTTTGATATTGTTGGTTCGGATCCGTCAGCAAATGCCCCCACTGCTTTAGACTCCACTCCTCCAGCCAGTTTACGGGTGCAGATGCCAGATGCGAAGCACGTCTGGCTGTCACTTGCGTGATGTAGCACGAGATGCGCTCGGGAGCATATTGCGCATCGATTTCAATATGGCCACGCACTCTTCAATTTGTTGTTGCCTGGCCGGAGTTCATGACTGGTGTCTCTTTGAGACACGTCACACACTTCCCGTTCCGAATCATATAATAATATTCCTCTTAGCGGTAGGCGGTAGGTTTGGGGTTTTTGATTTCACACCAGGGGGCGGTGCCGACAGCAACGCCTTCTTACCCCTCAATATAGAGAGTGCCGCGTAGAGATCCCGCCAGCACGCGTGCATCATGCCAAAAGTACAATGGGCAGCAGCGAGCGGTGCACGAGCAAATGGCCTTTCGGGCAACTCCTCCTGCTCCACCTTATGCTCCTCCCCCCCTGGATGTCGGGCCCCCTTCCGGTCAAAATCTGCCCTCGCTCCCATGCTGGAGCGCGTTCAGACCAGAGTCTCTCGAGGCGCTCCCGTCTGTGGCGACGAGGGCCCCCAGGATTTTCAGAACAGGCAGCAACAGCAGGCCCCCCCCCCTCCCCCTCCTCCTCATGCCTCTCCTCGCTTCACCAGGCTGCTGAAGAATACCTACCTCTGGTCAAGGTCATCAACGGGCAATGGTGTTCCGATTGCTGTGCCGACCCTCTCTCTATCAGCCAGCGCTTCCAGGCTGCAATCGACGGCAAGTCCGATCCCACAAGAAAGGACCCACTCTACAAACACTTCCGCCGACTGTGGGGAACTGACCGAGGCGTAGCCCGACACCTCACAATCGCCCACCTCAAAGCCAGTTCGCAAGGCCAGGCAGCAGCTTCGGGACAATTGGGCAGGACAGCCTTGCCAAACGACCGCAGAATCAACATTGAAGATCGCCGCCCACGACGTGAAGACGATCGACAACTCCAGCACACACACACACACACACACACACACACACACACACGCACACGTACACATAAAATACCACAGGCCGTTTACATGTGCGAATTGCAGCGTAGCCTTTACTCCGACACCTTCGGCTCCACCATCCTGCAGCGCCTCCAGGCATGGTATCCGACGGCTGGCCGCACCACCCACTTCCCCGACCTCCCACCTCAGGCTCCAGACGCTTCCACATATGACCACACCATCGACGAGTCCCGTCGTGCGCCCCAACAGTTTCGTACTATGGAAGAGGTTCTCGCCCACTTGGCCGACGACTGGATCCCCGACGTGTACCTGAACGACCAGACGATAGACCGACACCGCGACTGGGAATAATAGTACGAAGCATATATATATATATATATGAATATCGAACCCTCAAGCGACCATCATACTTAATCTTGTACAATGCTGGTGACGACTTCCACTCCAGAGATTTGGCTCGAAGCATTCGCCGAGACGCTTGGCACGGCGTTGACAGCGCCAGGCAGCGACGGGCCCAGCTTTTCCAACAGCTGCGCATGCCAGCTGACGTTCGCCAACTACTGGAAGGTGCGAGAGATGAACACCATGCCCGACGCCAGCTGATCCGACTCCCTGACGAGACCAACGACGACAGTGACACTACTCCTCCGAAAGAGGTCCACCGATGGTGGGACGACGAGGAGTACAGCTACCTCACGTGCATGCTCCAGCTGCCGCTCACGATCCAAAACGCATGGGTCAAAGCTCGCTGCACGATCGCCAGGATGCCACCATCGCGGCTCTGGCCCACGAAGACGCACGCGGGAGGGTGGCCACTTACGTTCAGGATGCACGTGCAGTCGCTGAAGCGCCTCTGCAGATTCGGCTGCCCCACAGATGCTGACGACCAGGCGCACTACATGATCTGCCGCCGAGCATGGCACCACGTCGCGTTGCCTCGCGGCATACTGGCGCCCGACCTGCTGACGCGCATGGACTTGGGAGCGCGCGACTACGGCATGCCGGGTGAAACCAACATCTTCGATTCGATCACTCGCCATGCCTTGATGAACCGAGCCTACTGCATGAAGAACAACCCGTTGAAGTAGCAGTGCGTCACGGTTCCGAACAGTTCCGTCGACGTGCGGCGTTCTGTCCCCGTGCTTGTGGGCACTTGCTGCATCAACTCCAGCTGCAACGAGCAGAACATCAACCTCTTCAAGGCCGTCCGCGCCGCGCTGATGCTGGGCCCGTGCATGCACCGCGGGGCGTCTGCGCCTAGGCAACGTCCCGTCTCCGCAGAGGGGCGTGCGTTCTTCCTCCTCTTCCCCCCCTTCATATTCCTCCTCCTCTTCCGCCTCCTCCTCCCTCCTCCTCCTCCTCCTTCTCGTCGTCCTCGTCCTCCTCCTCGGCCTTCTTTTCCTCCCCCTTGATCCTCTTCCTCCTGCCTCCTCATCCTCCTCGACGGTTATGCTTAACCTTGAAATCGACGTTTCAACAGTGAAATGTTCAAACGCTTACACGTGAACTAGACACTACGTACATACACTACGTAAATGCACTACACGAATAGATTCGTAGATACACTTCGCAGGTACACTACGAACATACACCCTGCGCGTTTACACTACGGGAAGACGCTACGCAAGTACATTGCGCACATACACTACGCGAATACACTACGTGGCGCGTTCCCTGCCATGTCTGAGTGCGGCGCGGCACAGCGCAGGGGAGCACGCCGCAGCCCCCAGCACATCAACATCACCACGAATCTATCCAGCATTGCCATTGCCGATCGCCCGATCGAGGTGCTTGGCAGCGTCCCCAGGCCTTGCGCAGTGTTGAATCCCTTCCCAAGTTGGTTGGTCGACCACGGGAACGCATGACGCGAAAAAGCACCGCGACAACATTGCGCGGAAAGCTAACTCCACGCGGCGCGAGGCATTCTGCGAAAGACACGACGCACAGATTCCACGCAAGCAGTGCACGCCAAACGGCGAAGCAAATATCATACGCGAAAACACGACGCACATACACCACGCAGGAGCATTACGCCAGCACGGTACGCCAACACATTGCGTCAGCACATTACGCAAACGCATTGCGACAAAAACAACACGACGCAAATACACAACCCAATTACACAACGTATAATACATTACGCGAATGTACTGCGCAAATGCATTACGCGAGTACGCTACGCAAGTACACTACGTCAATACACCCTACGCAAATACAGTATACCAATGGACTGCGCAACTACACTACGCAAATACACCACGGAAACCCACTACGGAAATACGCGACGCAAAGTCACCACGCGATTATACTACGCAAATGCACTACGTAACTACATCTTACGCAAATCCGCGACGCAACTACACTACGCATATGCATTACGTGGCGCGTTCCTCGTCACGTCCCAGTGCGGCGCGGCACAGCGCAGGGGAGCACGACGCAGTCCCAAGCACAGTAGTGTCACCACGGGCGTCTCCAGCATTGCCACTGCCCATCGCCCGATCGAGGTCTTCGGCAGCGTCTCTGGCGTCGCAGTGTTGAATCCCGCCCCGAGTTTGGGGGTCGACGAAACATTGCGCGACAACTTTCCGCGGAAAGCTCAGTCCGCGCGGCGCGAGGCACTCCGCGAATTACATCGAGCAAATTCCCCGCGCAAGCATTGTACGCCAAACGGCGACGCTGATACCAGACGCGAAGGCGACCCCACGGACGCCTCCAGTATTGCCACTGCCCATCGCCCGATCGAGGTGCTTGGCAGCGCCCCCAGGACTACGCAAACGCACTACGTAAACTACGAGACGCGAGTACACTGCGCAACTACACTACGCAAGTACACTACGCATATATACACAACGCGAACCAAAGCATTACGTAAATACATTCTACGCAAATACACGATGCAAATACATTGTGTAAATTCACGACGTAGAGGCCTCGCAGTTAGGAATCCCTTTCAGAGTTTGCCAGTCGACCACACACTGCGCGACAACATTTCGCGGAAAGCTCACTCCACGCGGCGCGAGGCATTCCGCGTAACACATTACGTGCATTTCCCGCGAAAGCATTGCACGCCAACTGGCGACGTTGATGCTAGACGCGAAGGCACTACGCACATACCCCACGCAGGAGCTCTACGCCAACACACTACACCAACACAACGCACTGGCACAACACACTACGGGAGAGCATTACGCAAACGAATTTCGTAAATTACGATACGCGGCTACACTACGCGAATACAGTACGCACACACGATACGCAAATACACTACGGATATGCACTACGTAAATACACTACGTGGATGCACGACGTAAGTAAATTACGCAAATACCTTACGCAAATGCACTACGCAACACTGCGGAAATGCATTATGTAAATGCACTACGCTAGTACATTACGGAAATCCACTGCGCGATTATACGACGCAAATGCACGACGCGAATACACTACGCATAATACACTACGTAAATGCACGACGTAAACACACCACGCAAATGCACAACGTACATACACCACGTAAATACACTACGCAAATACACTACCTAAATGCATTACGCAATTACACGACGCAGTTACACTACGCAGATACACTACGTGGCATTTTCCATGTCACGTCCCAGTGCGGCGCGGCACAGCTCAGGGGAGCACGACGCAGCCCCCAGCAAAGTAGCGTCACCACGGAGTTCTCCAGCATTGCCACTGCCCATCGTCCGATCGAGGTCCTCGGCAGCATCACCAGGCCTCGCAGTTCTGAGTCCCTTCCCGACTGCGCGGGTCGACGGAACACTACGCGACAACATCGCGCGGAAAGTTCACTCCACGCGGCGCAGGCATTCCGCGAAATACACTACGCAAATTTCCCGCGCAAGAATTGCACGCCAAACAGCGACGCTGACACCATGCACGAAGACACTACGCAAATACACCACGCAGGAGCTCTACGCCAACACACTACACCAACACAGCGCACTGGCACAACACACTACGGGAGAGCACTACACAACACAACGCACTACGCGAAAGCCCTACGCAAACGCATGACGTAAACTACGATACGCGAATGCACTACACCACACATGCACTACGCAAATACACTTTTTGAACACACTGCGTAAATACACCACATGAATACACTAATACACGACGCAAGTACACTAGGCAAATACACTACGCAAATTCACTACGTAAATACACTGTGTAAACACATTCCATAAATACACGACGTAAATACATCTAAATGCACACGAACACACTACGCGAATCCACTACGCATATACACTACGAAAATACACTACGTAAGTACACTCCCGGCACAGTAGCGTCACCACGGACGTCTCCAGCATTGCCATTGCCCATCGCCCGATCGAGGTGCTTGGCAGCGCCCCCAGGACTACGCAAACGCACTACGTCAACTACGAGACGCGAGTACACTGCGCAAATACGCGGCGCTAATCCATTACGTAAGTACACCATGTAAATACATAACGTAAATACACTAGGCAAATACACGACGCGAATACACTACGCAAATACACAACGCAAACGCATGACATAAACACACTACTTAAATTGTTTTACAGTTAGGCGCAATTTTCTCCTCCTCCTCCTCCTGCCTCCTTCTCGCCCCCACCCCTCCTGCCGCTTTTCTCCGTCCGCCCCCCCGGGGCACCTGCCATTGCCCACCTCTCCACCGCAGCCAGCCCTGTGCCGAGGCACCAGGTACAGAGAGCTGGAAGAAGCTGCACGGGGAGGGAGGAAACAGACGGGGCCAGGACGAGGATCTGAAGTGGCGCTCCTCCTCCTCCTCCTTCTCCTTCTCCTCCCCCCTCCTCCTCCTCCTCGTCCTCCTCCTCCGCCTCTTCCTCGATTCTCCACCACCCCGAACACTCCAACCTCTGGTGCGTCGGCGCCACCGTACAATGACGGGCTTGCTGATGCCACGAGCCTTCTTCCTTCTTTTCGAACCTGGCCGAGCAGGGGTTAGCCGGTTAGGGCTAGGACGAGGATAAATCCGTTCCAGAGCGTTCCGGAACGCTCTCAGAGCGTTTTGCAACGTTCCAAAAGGGCCACGGCGCCCGAGATATCTTCAAGAGCCGCCGGGCTTCAGAGATTTACGATTCATCCACACGCGGTTTTATCTTCGTCCTGGATTCGTCTTAATTGAGGGACGGGGAGAATTGGAGGACCTCCCTTCGAGGAGTTGCAGTAATGGATGAGGGCGCGCGGTTAGCGACGGGCGCCGCTTCCACGCGAAGTCGACGCCCTCCGTCGCCAAAGTAGGCGGCACTTCATGCTTCGGGGGGCGCCTCTTTTCCGATCCAGGGGTCTGGCGCCTTAGCGCCAGATCCACGGATCCCAAATTTGTGCTAGTTTGTGCCAGACCCTTGGGAGGACCGAGGGGGACAGGAGGGGAGGGGAAGGCTGGAGAGAGGTGGAGGCTGAATGAATGCGAAGGAGAAGGAGGAGGAGGAGGAGGAGGAGGAGGGGGAGGAGGAGGGACAAGGGGGGAGCAGGAGGGAGGAAGGATCGGATCGACCGAGCAGGAGGAAGCGCCAAGCTCCGCAGCGCCGCGTGGGGCCCCCCTGCAGGGGGCCACAAGCGTGGAGCGCGAAGCTCGCAAGAAGCATTGGCAACACTCCTATCCCGCGCGTGGCCCCTTGTAGAGGGAAGGGAGCACAGGCGGAGGCGGAGGAGGAGGAGGAGGAGGAGGAGGAGGAGGAAACATTATGGAGAAATCCTTTGAAAGAGCGCGTTCTGTGGACACTTGGCAGGGGGCGGCGGATCGAACCGGGCCCCCCGCCCCTGAATTGCAAGGGGGGCTGTTCGAACCGAGAGGGGGGGTGCGCGAGGCGGAGGTCGAGTGGGCATCGACACCACATGCAGCGCGAACTTGCGATGGGATGCCAGCGATGACCAGCAGCAGCCCGAACCTGATCGCTACAGGCCGCTTCCAAGACCAACGGACGAGGCCGGCAGAATGGTCGTTGGGGATCGCTGCGGACTGAGGCAGGAGGAGGGGGAGGAGGACGTCAGGGTGAGGAGGAGGAGGAGGAGGAGGAGGAGGAGGAGGAGGGGGAGGAGGGGGAGGCGGAGGAGGAGGAGCAGGAGGAGGCGGAGGAGGAGGAGGAGGAGGACGTCAGGAAGGGCCGCCCCCCCGGGCACACCAGGGGCAAGCGGGCACGGGCAGGGGAAGCCGCTGGCGTAGCCCCCGGGTGCCACAGCGCCGTCGGAGCCGGACGTCCGCTCTGGGAGGAGGCGCTCGAGACGACGACGCCGACGACGCCGACGCCGCCGCCGCCGCCGCCGCCGCCGCCGCCGCCGCCGCCGCCGCCGCCGCCGCCGACGACGACGACGACGACGACGACGACGACGACGACGACGACGACGACGACGACGACGACGACGACGACGACGAGAGAGAGCTTTGAGCTGGCTGGGGGTCCGAGGTGGCCCAGCATTGCTTTCGGCCAGCAGGAGGGTGGGGGGGGTCCAGGTGGGTCCAGGTGATGGATTCGAGCAGGCTTTTGCCTTTTTCGGTCTCGAGCCCCGGGACCGTCGAAAACGGATCCTAGGTGAAAATCTACACCAGATGGTCCCCAGGAGGTGTCTGGGGCCTGATTTTGAGCGGATTTGCCCTCATCCCTTTTCTGTTGACCGAGTTTCTCGGAGCCCATCCAGTTCAGACCACCCGGCCACATGCAAACGACGACGACTCATCGACGACCAGAGGGAGCGGCGTCAACTCGGGGGCGGCCAAGAGGGAGGTGATGGCTTGGGGGAAGCAGATATCGTCATGGCCATGACCATGACATCCCCCAGATGTCAATGCGCCCTGTCTTATCTGGAGACAACCCCATGGCTTTCCCCGTGCCGCGCACGTGCCTCGGGCCATGATTGGCGAACCCCCGGGGAAGGTGAAGAAGCTCCACGCGGCGATCGCCGAGCTGGCCGGTCGCCAGGAGCGCGCGCTCGCGCGCCCGTCGAGGGCCCGTGCTCTGCCGTTGCCCCTGGCAGGTCGTAGCCCCAAGAGGTCTGCTTGAGTCGGGCCTGTCCCTCCACCTGGGGAATCTTAAAGAATAGCTAGAAAAATAGTCTGGAAACAATGTTTCTACTATCTTGGAGCATTTGGGGGGTATTGCTTGCATATGTCTGATGCTTCGCCCAAAATCCCCCTGTAGGGGGACACGCCCGACTGAAAGGTATGCGGTCGGGAACTTTTACCAGGCGTTTCGCTGCGCCGGTTCTGGCCCGCCACGGTGCGGCGGGGCATGCCATCCCTTGCTCGGTCCGCGGGCGTTAGTGCCCCGAACCTTCCCGAGCCTCCCGCCCCGCGGAGCGAAGCGGTGCGCTATCTGCTCGCGAGGCATGGCGTGTCGCCGGGGCCTCCGCCGCGAGTCGCCCCGCAATCGTGTATTCATCGCCGAAGAGGGGCCCGACGGCCCAACGTGCCCTGGGGGAGCGCGCGGATTCGTTATGGGGGGGCCTATAGCCGATCTGTCGGCGGTGTATCGCCGATTCCAGGTCGTTGCTTTTCCCCCTTGAGCTGGTCCACCCTAACGTTGCGTCCCATTGGCATCGATGCAGGAGAGCGCTGGAGTGCAGTGGCCGACCAGAACTTGGGAAGCGGGGAAAATATTCAGAGAGCAACTGAACTCTGCACGAGCTCTCAGCCAGCGTTGTCCAGCAATTGCCCTGGAGGTGCTCCGAGAAGTCACCCACTATGGTCTGCACCCCCTTCGTGTACTTCTCGCAGTTTTCGAATTTGAGGCACGGTCTTCAACCAGGTTGCATTGGCGTGCCCAGGCTGTTGCATCAGCCTTCTTCGCGAGGGAGAAAGTGTCCAGCTGTCGGCATATCTGTCCAGCTGTAACCATGTAGCATGTACAACACCAGCGCGCGGAGGCCTCTTCCTCATGCCCACACGGCCGTTACAGGTCGATGGTGCAACTAGCGCAGGCCCCAACAGCGGCCCCCGATCTGGTTTGACCACTTGATGCTTCGCGTATCTCCACCAGCACGTCCAGAAAGGATTCCTAGACAAGCCGTCGTCGTAAGTGAAGTGAAGGAGCAGTCGTGATAACAAGGGCTGCATGCAGCGGCCAGGCCAAAAGAGGGGTCAGCCCTTGAGAACTCTGGGAGCCTCTGAACGCGTTCGGCTGCCTTTGGTCCTTTTGGGGCCACGCTGGAGCCGAGCATCAGCAGACACACCCTGGCATCGCTCGGATATGTGCTTTTCGGCGAGAACTATCGAGGAGCATCTTGGAGAATCTTGCGAACAAGTACGCTCACCAGACTGAAACATGCGCGGGGAATGGACGTCCGAGCGATGGCAAGACATCGCCCCTCCTGGAGCCCGAGTATGTGCCTACTGCGGCTCGCTGGGACCTGAGTGTGGGAGTGCTGTTGGGGAGGGGCGCTGAGGTCCGCTCGTGGCCCTTCCCGGGCCCCTCTCGCTTGGCATCGTTCGGACGAGTGTGTGCATGTTTTCTCGGCGAGGACCATCGAGGAGCATCCTGGATTAATCCTGCCACACAAAAAGAAAGCACGCGCGAGACCGAAAAGCGCACGGGGAAAGGACGCCCCAACGAAGGCATCGGAGTCTGGCCGAGAAGGCCAGACGCCGATCCAAGAGAACGTTGGCAGAGGCAGGGTGCTCTTGACGTGTCGCCGCGCCGTCTGTGCCGACGCTCGGCTTTCCGGCGCGGGGAGGGCGCCGCGGGCCCCAGGGCACTCCGCCTCGGGCGCGGTGGGCTCCCCGCGGGTTTGCCGCGGCGCTGGCGTCGTCAACCTGGGGCGCGGGGCGCGGGGTGTGCCCTGGGTTTGCCGTGGTGTCGGCGTCGTCCACGTGGGCGCGTCGGGAACCACGGGCGTGGCGACACGTGCTTCCTTGTCCCTGGTTTCGGCCTCTGGGGGTGATCCTTGCGAGCTCCGCGGGCCCCTTTCAGAGCCATCTTGTGGGGCCTCTCAGGGCCTCTTTGAGGGCATGCTGGAGGGCATCTTGCAACGTCGGGGAGGTCAATATCAGAGCCACCAGCCAGGACCATCTTGGACCCTCTGACCCCCCGCGGACTCGTCGTCCAGACCCTCAGGGAGGGAGTATGGGAAGGGGGATATCTCAAGGAGGTGTCGCTCTGCAAGGGATGACACCCTAAGCCTGCGCATGACACCCATAGGGCTGACGGGAACGGTCGGAAGTGGTTTCCACGCCGAACATCATTGCACGGAGCGAATACACCTGTCATCTCCAGCCCAAGCGACATTGTCTGAATGTGAGTGTGTATGTGCGTGCGTGAATCTGGGTGATTTGTGGCAGCGGCGATCGCCTCGATGTTGATGCCGCCCGCCCAACCTGACGGCTGAAGCGCGCAGCGGGCGAAAAGCCCAAGGAGAGGAAGCCAGTCGTCCTGACGGTGATCGACGACGAGGAGGAGGACCTCGCATACCACATGATCAAGAGCCTGCAGGACGCCCCCATTTGTCGGGAGGGGCCGAGGTATTGGTGACACGAGCGCCGTCGTTCAAGCTGTGCGCGCTATTCACTCATCACTTGATGTGCAAAAAACTGGCACCGCTTCAACAGTGCCGCTCTGATGGGATCGCCGTCCGACTGGCGTGACATTTTGGACGGGGCTGGGACAAGGACCAATCCGTTCCAGAGCGTTCTGGAACGCCCTCAGAGCGTTCCAGAACGCTCTGAGAAGGCCGCGGCGCGTGAGACATCCTGCAGAGCCGCTGGATCTCCGAGATTCTCGATTTATCCTCACTCGATGTTATCCTCATCCTGGCCTCGTCGTAACATTGGCACTGGTCTTGCTCTCCGAGTTCGTTTGCCAGGCCGCTTCCCGCCCCGTGCGGTATCCGCAAGTGGTGTCCCATGCCCGGAGCTGCATGACGACGCTCCGGCAAGGGATGGAGGACGTGGGCCGCGAGGAGGAAACAGAGGGGTAAGCGGTAAGTTTCTTGGGAGTAGGAGAAGGAGAGGCTGAGGGGGAGAGGAGGAGGAGGAGGAGGAGGAGGACGACGAAGAAGAGTAGCATTGGTTGAGGTGGGAGGATGAGGAGGAGGAGGAGGAGGAGGAGGAGGAGGAGGAGGAGGAGGACGAATCGTTGTTTGACGGCATTGGGCCAGGGCCTGGCGAGGACTCCCAGAGGCCAAAAATTGAGAAAGACTTCCGCATCCCGGTTCTCAAGACCTCGGCCACTCGCAGAGGGGGGCAGTGATACAGTGGAGACCCATGCTAAGAAACACCCTGCTTGCCTCCAGGACGCCCTGGGTTTCTTGGGTTTCGTTGGTTTTGCGATGGAAAGCGTGACGTCCCCACACCAAAAGTCGATGGACATCCGGGGGTCTCAGGGTTTTGTTTGTTGTGGAACCGTTCTTGTGGACTGGCCTCCACTGTAGGGGGAGGGGCAAAGGATTCTTAGAAGCACCCCCGCTCATTAGAGGGCACGGGCCTAATCTATAGGTGTAAGGCCGGCGCCTTCTAGGAAGCGGCCTCCTCCGAAGAAGCTTTCCCCCCTCCGCCATACCCCCCGGTCGTCGCGCGATCATCCTCCCGGGACTGAGAACCACAGGTGGCCGTGTTGCGAGATCCTGAGCAGCTCTCGGTCGGCGGACTGCTGCTTCAGGGCAGCGCGTGCATCGCCGAGCGGGCGCGAGCGTCTGGGCAGACCCCTGACCCAGAGGCCCTCGCGACAGCGACTCTTGCACCGGGGAAGCATGATGGTGGGCCGTGCGTGCTCCCGACGAAGACGCCGCGCGCAGAGCTCTTGCAGGCCCGCTTGGGGCCAACGGCGCCGGCTGGGCGGGCGGATCTGCGGTGGGCAAAGCAGAGCGAAGGCCGCGTGCGCGCCGCCAGACGACGTTGGAGGCTTGGGAAGGCGGGGGCCCACCGTCGGGAGCCCGTGCATCCGCGCGTGCACTCCGAGCGCCGGCCTGCAGGCGAGGCCCGGGAGGGGGGACAAAACAAACAGGCAGACCCGGGAGGGGGGAACAAAACACACAGGCAAGGGGAAGACAAAGCCAAGGAGAACATGGAAGAGTGTTGGGAAACCAGAGATTCGTGTGAAGTCGGGCCTGTCCCTCCACAGGAGGAACATTCAAAAACAGTCAAGAATAGTCGGGGGACGATGTTTTGATTTTTGCTGCTATTTGGAAGTGTTTACGGTATGTTGAACTTTTCGCCCAAAATCCGCCTGTAGGGGGAGATGCCCGACCTAAGATGGGTGTGCCACTGGGCCCCTGCAAAGACGCTGACACAAAAAACACCTGGACTTCAGGAGGAGCTCCAGTTTCTGGGCCGTTCTTTACACATGGGTCTTGTGTTAAGTCGGGCGTGTCCCTCTACAGGAGGAATATTCAAAAGCAGTCCACAAATAGTTTGGGGACGATGCTTCGAGTATTCCTTGACTGGTATTGATTATTGTTTGGCGTAAGTTTTTTCTCCAACATCTGCCTGTAGGGGGACATGCCCGACCTCAGTCTTGTGGTTACACGCAGGTCGTTGAGAGAATGTACTTTTGAAATTCCCATCTCCCAATCTGCTTCAAGCGCCTTCCTTCCTCAAGAATCGATATTGGTCTGTTCTTGCTGGCTGCGCTTCGAGCGGCCCCGAGCCCAGTCTGCCTTATCCGCCTTCCTACCTCACGCTTCCACCCGCTTCTTCCGACTGGCGGGTGCGCGAGGCCGATAGCCCCTCCGGTCAACATCTCACGCGGCCGGCCACGAGCGGGCTCATCTCGGAGCCCCCGGCGCGCGAGAAAGTCGGGCCCCGCAGCGCCCCCCCCCTTGGGACCCTGTCCTGGCATCTGCCGGCGCGCGCTGGGGCGCGCTGGGGCTGGTTTCACTTCAGATCCAGGCAAGCTTGCTCGCGTGGCGTTCCCCCCCCCCCCCCCCGCCACGCGGCCGCGCGAGACGTGTGCAGATCGAGGCGGGGGGAGGCCCCCCGCCCCCGCCCCCCCATGCTGCCCCCCAAATGAAGCGACGCGCGGCCTCCTCCCTCCTCCCTCCTCCTCCTCCTCCTCCTCCTCCTCCTCCTCCTCCTCCTCCTCCTCCTCCTCCTCCTCCTCCTTCTCCAGCGAAAACGAGCGTGCGAGTGCCTCACGATTTGCGTGTTTTCCGCACGTCGAGTTGTCTTCGGCGTGCTTCAGACTCGCCCCCCCCCCCATGCAAGTAGACTTGCCCGAGTCTCAACAGAGCGGGCTCCTGGGCGCGGTGCCCCAGTCCGGGGCTCCCGCTCGGGGCATCCTCCCAAAGTCGAGCCCCGGCGCGCGAGGAAGTCGGGCCCCGCGGCGCTCCCAGGAGCCCTTTTTGCGGGCCTCCGTCCTCGCTCTCCCCTGGGAGCCCGGCCGTGCATCGCCACCCCCCCTTTTCAGGAGGGAGCAAAAACACACACAGACACAATGAATCGTCGATCCTCCAGAAAATGTTGGAAAATATGGTAATTCGGCGAGAAGACAAAAGCCCAAAACATATGCGAAAAAATGGGGAAACATTTTATTTGTGTATATGTATTTGCGTGTCCTCGGGCCCCTTCACCCTTGTGCCACGGAGGCTGCAGCGACTGCCTCTGCTCCTCGCGCCCCTCGCGCACGGGCACCGTCTCGACGTCTGGAGTGACGGCCTTACAGTGGGGGCCCGCATCAAGAAACCATATGCTTTTCGTCTGAGTATCCTAGGTTTCTTCGCTCCGAGCGCTGCGCGGTGACTTCCCGCAGCCGTTGAAGGAGCTGATGCGTTCAGGGTGCTCCGGGTGTCCCTTCAGGTGCACCTCGCGCACGGGTTCTCATGGTTGGGTTTCTTGCGAGGGTTTCTTGCGGCCGCGCCCGCACTGTAGCGTGAAGTCGGGCATGCCCCTCTGCAGGAGGAAGATTCAAGAATAGGAAAGAATAGCCTGGTGACGGTGTGTCGTGTGCTGCTGACTATTTGTTTGGATTGCGTTGCATGTTTCATGCGAAACCCTCCTGCTGTAGGAGGACATGCCCGACCTAAGCTTAGCGGAGAAGATCAAACAGCGCGAGGATGCCGAGCGTGGCGCAAGGTCGGCCTCAGGCCGCACGTGGTTACGTTCTGCCTCGGAGCCTTCAAAGGAAAGCCTTCTCGGGCTGGGGTTCTTCCTCAGTCTGTCCACTGCGCCATGCGCCCCATGCCGTGTTTTCGTCCTACGGTCGGGAGCGTTTGGTTAGCGTGTCGCTCCGCCGGTTCTGGCCGACACGCTTCGGCGCGACACGCTATCCACTTTCCAGTCCCCAGGCGCCAACGTCTCAAGTTGTTCCGAGCCTCCCGCCCCGCGGATCGGAGCGACACGCCATCCGCTTGCAAGGCAAAGCGTGCCGCTGGGGCCGCCGCGGCGACACGCTATGCAAAAGTTCCGGGCCGTAGTCTCCCCTGCATGGTGCTCCAGGCGACTGGGGAGGCCGCGAACAGCCTCGTCGTCGGCACCGTCCCCGGCATTTGCAGGGACATGGATGCGCTGTCACCCGGGCTGTGCCAGACAAGTCAGCAGCCATCGCCTCGTTCCCGCGCTCCACCCGTCCCCCGGGTCTCTTGCCTTCCACGGCGCGGGCCCTTTGCGCTGCGGCAGTGTCGTTGGTTACGGAATGTGCCCAGGAGGCTTGTCCGATGAGGGCGGCAGTGGTATCCATGGCCAATCCACGATGGGAGTCCCATCGGCTTCCACACCCTGAATTCCTCTTCCAACGGTTCCGTATCCAATGCCCTGACTGTATGGATTGCTCCCGTTCGCCGCCTGTCAGGTGTGACCCGAGGGAACGCCGCATGGTTGAACGGTTGGCGTGGTGCTCGGCGGCTGTGAGGCTGGCGCGACGACGAGACGGCTGTATTGGAGAGTCGTTTCGGCCACTCGCCTGCGAGTCTCCCAGCGGCCAGCAACCGCTGCTACCCATTGCTGCAGGAAGCTCCTAAGGTCGGCGATGAGGAAGAGACGGAGGAGGAGGAGGAGGAGGAGGAGGAGGAGGAGGAGAAGGAGGAGAAGAAGGAGGAGGAAGAGGAGGGAGGAGGAGGAGGAGGACGGCGAGGACGACGAGGACGACGAGGATGAGGACGAGGACGAGGACGAGGACAAAACCGAGGACGAGGACGAGGACGAGGACGACGAGGATGCCGAGGACGAGGACGACGAGCTGCGTAGGTACGGCATCCCGACCAAGAGGTGTGTCGTCGTGCAGCCGGCGCAGAGCGTGCGGCGGGGAGTCCTCAGGCACGCGATCTTGACGACCGCCGCGCTGGCCGGGCTCAGCGACCGGATCATGCTCGCGTCGCCACGCGTGGTCTTCACGAGGCCAGGGTGGCGCCGCCACTTCCTTGGGCGGTAGCTCAGGGGCCCGTTCTCGAGGGCCCAGCGAAGGCCTCTCTCCTGCGCCCCTCGGTCGCCCCCCGCTGACTGCCCCGCCCTTGACGTCCACCCGATCTTGGGCGCCGCTACCCCCACCCCCTCGCAGTCAGGGCCGAACTTTCAAAAGCTGAAGTGGCCCCCTGGCGGGACGAACTTGGCAGGCTTTTTACTAGACAGCCCTGGCCGTTGACCGAACAGTCCTCCCCTGTCCGATTCCTTCACTGAGTGCGGAACACTGGCCTGCCCTCTTTCGCTCGTGCGGAGTGCTGTCCAGGAGGGCGACTTCAGGAGCGAAAGAAGGACGCAGGCGTACATGAATCCCCGCTGGTTTCGAGACTACGCATTACCCGAATGTTCGTATCACGCGGCCAGTCTCGCGGATCGAGGGGCCGTGTTCATGTACACAGCTGGGCGCGTGCGTCCTTTGTGGGCTCCCTACGATGGTCCTCTGCCCTCGCATCCCTGCCGCTGTGGCCCTTCTCTGCGGCGGTCGCGTCTCGCCGGCTCGTACAGGGCACCCCGGCGCCCCTCTCTGCGGGCTGCGTCTGTGGTCCACGCAGAGGCGACCTGCTCGTTGGGGCAGAGCCGCACGGATGCGGGACGGGCAGGGGGCCCTTGCACTCCGTCGTCGTCGTCGTCGTCGTCGTCGTCGTCGTCGTTTGCGGGGTTTGACTCTAGCCGTGGAAGTCAGGATCACGACCTGGACCCTGCTTCAACCTGGTCCAGCGGCTTGGTGTGCACAGGAGGAGTCGATGTGCTTTCGCTTGGCCCCGAATTGAGAGATCCCGTTCCCCTTCTTCGAAAAATGTGGGAGACCCAAGGCGTGATGGTATGATTCTTGGTTGCCGATGCGTAACATTGAATTCGACGGGGAGCTCCCACACGCCTACTCGGAACCATTGAGAGGGCCTGACGGCCGATGCCGCCTACCCTGAAGCACATCGACGACCAGTAGGAGGAGAAGGAGGAGGACGAGGAGGAGGAAGAGGAGGAGGAAGAGGAGGAGGAGGAGGAGGTAAGGAAGACGAGGGGGAGGAGGGGTGGAGGAACTGGAGGAGGATGAACCTTTGCTGCTTTTCAGCCTGCTTCTCCTCCTCCTCCTCCTTGTCCTCTTCCTCCTCTCTCCTCTTTCTCCATCCCCCCTCCTCCTCCCTCTCCTGCACCTCCTTTTTCTCCTCCTCGTCCTCCTCCCCCACCTCCTCCTGACCTCCTCCTCCTCCTCCTCCTCCTCCTCCTCCTCGTCCTCCTCCTCCTCCTCCTCCTCCTCATCCCCCTCCCCCTCCTCCACGACGGCGGCGACGACGGCGACCCCATGTCGCCGCGCCTTGCCGAACGCTGGCGGGGGAGGGGGGAGGAGATAAGAGGAAGGAAGGGGAGCTGTTGGAGTGGGGGTCCTAGTAAAGAAACAATCACATTACCCCCGGGACCCCCCCCGGGACCACCCTTTGGGATCACCCCCCGGGACCACCCCCCGAGAGCTCCCCCTGGACCCCCCCCCGCCGCCTTGGGAAGGGATCCAAGGAGAGGGCTTCGCCTCGGAGAAGAGGGGGAGCTGTTGGAGTGGGGGCCCTAGTAAAGAAACAATCATGTTACCCCCAGGACCCCCCGGGGACCACCCCCCGGGACCCCCCCCGGAACCACTCCCCAGGACCCCCCCCCCCCCCGGGACCCCCCCCCCCCCCGCCTTGGGAAGGGATCCAAGGGAAGGGTTTCGCCTTCACCTCCATGTGAAGGATGTTATGTGGCGTATTGGCTGGAGTGGATTGCTTCGCCTTCACCTCCATTTCAACGATGTTATGTGGCGTAGTGGCTGCAGTGGATTGCTGCAGGAGGGATGGCGGCGACCACGCGGACGAACGCGTCTCACAGACGCCGACATGGTCGGCGGATTTCTCGGCGTCGACTCTCCAGTTTCGCTTGGGCGGCCACCGTGGAAACTGTACCCGCGCCGAGCGCTTGGTTGCACCACCCTTTACTCTTACTCTGTCACCTACACGCAGGTGACACCCCTCCTCTTTAGTCCCTCTCCTTCACCGGCCATTCCAGAGAGAGGGATGCGACAAGGGCAGCGAAGACGACGACCTTTGACGTAGACCCGTCGCGAAATCCAGTACCCGCCGAACGGGGGAACCGCGGGGCAGCTGGAGGGCTTGACTAAATCTTCCCCCGCGCGCCAGCGGGACTGCCGCCTTCGGCGAGGGGCCCCGCCTGAGGAAGAGAGAGAGAGAGGGAGAAAGAGAGAGAGAGAGAGAGTGGAGGAGTGAGGAGGAGAAGGAGGAGGAGGACGACAAGGACAAGGGTGAGGAGGAGGAGGAGGAGGAGGAGGAGGACGAGGACGAAGACGAGGGTGAGGAGGAGGAGGAGGAGGAGGAGGAAGAAGGAGATGAGGAGGAGAGAGGAGGAGGAGGGGACGAGGGTGAGGAGGAGGAAGAGGAGGAGGAGGAGAAGGATAAAAAGGGGGAGGAGGAGGAGGAGGAGGAGGAGGAGGAGGAGGCGGAGGAGGAGGAGGTGGAGGAGGAGGAGGAGGAGGACCACTGTAAACCCAAGAGCCATCAACGATGTTGGAATGAACCCTCCCTCCAAGCTCCCTCTTTATAGGCCCCTGCAACGGTTCATTTCCATTGAGGGAGCTGCCTCGTTGGAAGACAACCGTTTGAATATCCTGAAGCATGCCAATACATTGTTCTCGGGATTTCAACGGCACGTATCAACCTGACTGCTGCGCCTTGGCGATCCTGAATCGTGCCAGCACGCCGTTTTTGGGAGTTAAATTCGGCGAGCCAACAGAACTGGTACACCCGCATAATCTTAAACCTTCCGAAACACAATTCTATGGTACGTTGGTCATGGGAACCCGTGAAATTCTTGCAACAGCTTGAAGCGATTATGCGCGGCGCTACGGCGATAACCACAGTTTTTCTAACGTCATCAATCCGTTAACCTCTTGTACATGTTCTAAACGAATGTGCGCGGCGGTACGGCGAGAGCCACATGTTGAAAACCACTTGCCCTCAATCCGAGAAACTCTTGCAGATGTTTAAAACGAATGTGCGCGGTTCTGAGGCGACAGCCACGTGGTGAAAACTACCCGCCCGCAATCCGTTAAACGTTTGCAAATGTTTAAAACGAATGTGCGCGGCGTTATGCGAGAGCCACATTTCGAAAACCATGTGCCTTCAATCTGTGACATTTTTGCAAATGTTTAAAACGAATGTGCGCGGCGCTACATAGAGAGCCACATTTGGAAAACCACCCACCCTCAATCCGTTAAACGATAGCAACAGTTGGAAAACGACTGTGCGCGGTGCCGAGGCGAGAACCGCATTTTGCAAACGCCCCCCTGTCTATCTGCGAAGTTGCTGTCACTTTTTAAGCTTCAAAATCATAGACGGCGAGGAAGTCTCAGGCGAAACGCCCGGCCCGCCCTAAAAATTGGCCCCGGGGTGCGACAGGGAGAATTTGTTCAACAAGAAAAGGAATGGAGAGGAAAACCAGTGCAAACCCAAGGTCCATCAACGATGGTGAAATACACCCTCCCTCCAAGATCCTTCTTCACAGGCCCCTCCAAGGTGTCATTTCCACTGAAGGAATTGCGCGGTCTGGGGACGACCGCATGAGCATCTTGAATCATTTTCAGGACTTCAGCGCTACGAGGTAATCTGGCTGTTACGTTCGGGTGATTTGAATCGTGCCAGAACGCCACCGTCGGAACTTTAACACCGCGAATACATGTAATTGTCGCGCCTTGACGCTCTTGAATAGCTCCCAAACACAAGTTTGTGGTACGTTAACCATGAGCATCAGTGACAATATTCCAAATGTTGGGAACGAATGCGCGCGGCGCTAAGGCGACAGCCACATTTTGAAAAGAACCGCCCTCAACTCGTAAAGCGCTTGTCTACAAATAATGCGCGCGGCGCCCAGGCGTGAACCACATTTTGAGAACGACCCGCCCCCAATCCGAGAAACTCTTGCAAATGTTTAAAACGAATGTGCGCGGTTCTGAGGCGAGAGCCAAATGGTGAAAAACACCCGCCCGCAATCCGTTAAACGATTGCAAATGTTTACAACGAATGTGCGCGGCGCTTAGGCGAGGCCAAATGGTAACAAGGAGCCGCCTTCGATCCATGAAACCCTTGCAGATGTTTAAAATGAATGTGCGCGGCGCTACGGCGAGAGCCACATTTTGAAAACGACCTGCCCTCCATATGTGAAGCGCTTGCAAATGTTTAAATCGAATGTGCGCGGCGCTGGGGTGAGAACCACTTTTTGAAAACGGCACGCCCTCAATGTGTGAAATGGGCGTCAATGTTTAAGCATCAGGTGCATAAGCGGCTCGGAAATCTCAGGCGAAACGCCTGGCTTGCCCTTTCGACCGGCCCCAGGGTGCAACAGGGCGTGTTTAGATATAATGGAAAGGGATGGAGGAGGAGGAGGAGGAGGAGCAGCAGCAGCAGCAGCAGGAGAAGGAGGACCAGTGTAGACCCAAGACCATCAACGATGTTGAAATAAACCTCCCTCCAAGATCCTTCTTCGTAGGCCCCACACAAGGAATCATTTCCACTGAGGGACCTGCCCCGTTGGGGGACAACCGTGCGATCACCTTGAAGCGTGCCAAAACACCATTCTCAGGACTGCAACGCGACGAGTTCACCTGACTGTTCCCTTTTGACGGTCCTGAATCGCGCCAGAGCGCCATTCCTGGGACTACAACACCACGAATCAACTAAGTGATGCGCCCTGACATGCCTGAATCGTTTCAAAAAAAATGTCCTGGTACGTTAACCATGCGAACCAGTGACAGTCTTCCATATTGAAAACGAAAGCGTGCGGCGCGAAGGCAAGAGCCACAGTGCAAAAACGAACCACCTACAATTCGCAAAGATGTTGCAAATGGTTAGAACGAATGCGCGCGGCGGTAAGGCGAGAGACACGTGTTGAAAAGAAGCCGCCCCCAATCCGCGAAACTCTTGCAAGTTTCTAGAACGAGTGTGCGCGGCGCTAAGGCGAGAGCCAGATTTTGAGCATGGCCCACCCTCAGTATGTGAAGCTCTTGCAATGCTTTAAGATAAATGTACATGGCGCTGTGGCGAGGGCTACATGTTGAAAACAATGTGCCTTCAATCCGCGAAACTCTTGCAACATTTAAAAACGAATGCACGCGGCGCGAAGGAGAGAGCCACGTGGTGAAAACCACCCACCCTCAATCCGCAAAGCTCTTGCAATTGGTTTGGAAAAATGTGCGCGGCGATACGGCGAGAGTCACATGTTGAAAACCACCCGCCCTCCATCTGTGAAGCTGCTACCAATGTTGAAACAGCAGGGTTATAAACGATGAGGAAGCCCCAGGCGAAACGCCCGGTCGCCATTTCGACCTCGGGGGGCCACAGATGGGAGTTTTTCCAGAAGGAGCAAGGAAAGGGGGAGGACGAGGAGGAGGAGGAGGAGGAGGAGGAGGAGAAATGGGACGAAGAGGGCGAGGAGGAAAGGCCCCCCTCTCCCGCCGAAGCCCCCGAGGCCCGCCAGCGCCCAGCTGCGCGAGGCGGCGGCCAGCAGGCCAGCTTATCCTCCCCTGGGTGGGCGCCGCCCTCTTCCCCCTCCTCCTCCCTCTCCTCCTCCTCCCCTCCTCCTCCTCCGCCTCCTCCTCCTCCTGTTCCTCCTCCTCCTCCCTCCTTTCCTGCCCCTCTCCTCCACCCCCCTCCTCCCCCGCCCTTCTCCCCCATTCTCCTCCCTCCTCTTCCTCCTCCGCGTTTTCCTCCTCCTCCTCCGCCTCCTCCTCCTTCCCTCCCCCTCCCCCCTCCTCCTCCTCCTCCTCCTCCGCCGCCTCCTCCTCCTCCGTTTCCTCCTCTTCCCCCTCCACCCCCACCTCCTCCTCCCTTCTCCTCCTCATTGTCTTGCTCCTCCCCCTTTTCTCCTCCTCCCTCGTTCTCCTCCTCCTCCCTCCTCCTCCTCCTCCTCCTCTCCTCCTCTCCTCCTCCTCCTCCTCCTCCTCCTCATCATCATCATCATCATCAGCATCCTCTTTCTCCAGCTCCTCCTCCTCCTCCTCCTCCCCCTTCTCCTCCTCCTCCTCGTCCTCATCCTCCTCCTCCTTTTCCTCCTTTTCCTCCTCCTCGTCCTCCTTCCCCTCCTTGTCCTTGTATCCCTCCTCCCCCCTTCTCCTCCTCCTCCTCGTCCTCCTCCTCCTCCTCCTCCTCCCTTCTCCTCCTCCTCGTCCTCCTTCCCCTCCTTGTCCTTGTATCCCTCCTCCCCCCTTCTCCTCCTCCTTCTCCGTCTCCTCCTCCTCCTTCTCCTCCTCCTCCTTCTCCTCGTCCTTCTCATCCTCCCCCTCCTCTTGTTCATCCTCCTTCTCATCACCCCCCTTCTCCTGTGCCTGCTCCTGCGCATCCTGCTCCTCCTCCTCATCATCATCGTCATCATCATCATCATCATCATCATCATCATCATCATCATCATCATCATCACCAGCAACATCACAGCAGCATCATCACCACCACCACCATCATCATCATCATCAGCATCATCAGCATCCGTAGCCATTTTGGCTCAAGCCATTTTGGCTCAAGGCTCAAACCTGTGCCCTGGGGTTTGGTCTTTGGTCGTTGCCGACGGGGAGGCTCGAGCTTCCCGAGGTCAGGAACTCGCACTGAACAGACGTGCGCCTCAGCACGCGCCTTTGTTTCGACAGTTTTTCGGCATCGCATTTTGCTTTGCCCTCCCTGAAGCAGTGGCCGAAGCTATGTTTGCTGAGCTGAAGGAGATGATGGTCACCATGACCGCAGCGCAGGAGGAAGCAAACAAGCGAGCAATGGCCACCGACAAGGCGCTGCATGACCTGAACAACTGGGTGCCGCAGGTCACAGCATCGCTGCAACACATCGACGAGAAGGTCGACGCAAAGTACAAGGAATGCATGGAAGAGGTTTCGAAATTGCGGAAGCTCATAGACGGCGAGGGCAGTGTACGCAGTGTGGGCACAGCTTCTGCGGCCTCAACGGCGGCATCGGCTGGCAGCTCCTCGCGCGACAAAGGCGACCCGCTGCGGTTGCACATCGGCGGCTTCCCCTACAAGATGCTCAGGACGGCGCTGGCAGCTCATGCAGAGCTGATGAAGGACTCCCTTGGAGCAGACGCACGGAACGTCACCGTCATTGCTCACAACTTGTCCATGAGCTACTCGCTCGCGTTCCAGGACCAGACAGTGTGCTCCAACTTTTACACGTTGTGGTCTGGGCAGGAGATCAAGTGGCTGGATCGCACAACCAATATGTCTCATGTACTTCGCATGCGGCGAGATCAACCTGCGCACATCCGCGAGAAGAAGAGGCAGCTCTCTCCCCTGTGGGAACCTACTTTGGCGTGTTCGGTGGCTGGCGGGCGCTTCGCTGGCGGCAAGTTGGGCGTCAACCCTCACCTCGGCGTGCTGTTCGCAAAAAATGGGTGATGGCGCGGAGGCCCGCGCTTACGAGCTGTTCGAAGTGAAGAACACGACGTCAGGCAAGGAGGTGGTCCCCCATCGCGCGAACCTGGATTGGTTTGGCATCTCTCCCGAGCAGACGAACGGCCTGATGCAGAACATACATTAACACCTTCTTGTACCTCAACAGAGGACTCCTGAGTCTGCGGTGGAACCGCCGGCAGGCGGGCGTGAATCGTCTCCTCCCTCTGGTGTTCGCCCGAACTCCTCTCGGAGCCCTGCGGGCGAACACCCTCCTCCTCCTCCTCCTCCTCCTCCATGTCCTTCTGAGGGGCGAACGTCGTCCCATCCGTTTTTGCCTTCTGATAAATTCAGCATAGCGAGCTGGAATTCCGCAGGTCTTTTTGGGAGCGCCTTCGGGAAGCATTGGATGCAGCTGTCTAGGTATCGCCATTTTAAGATCCTCTTGGGTCGCCACGATACTGTTTTGATTCAGGAGTCTCACGGGACTGAGGCTGATTTACAATATCTCAGGGGTGAACAGCCTGCTTTTAGTTTCTGGGGTTTGTTCTGTGATGACCACACGGCTGGGGGCGTCGTGGTTGCGGTCAGGAAGGCTTTCGCACGTAGATTCCAGACCATCGAGCCGCATCATATTCAGGAAGGGATAATTCTGATGTTGAACGCTCAGGGTGGTGAAGGGGGTCTTCAAATCGTTAACTTGCATCTCGTGCCCATGCTCACTCTCGCTTTCAAGAAGCAGACACTGCGCGCTGTTGCCCATCGTATCCTACCTCGCTCTGTCTCTACATGTTGGTCCGGAGGTGATTTCAATTTCAGTGCTGCTGGCGATGCTCGTGTGCATATGGATGGCCACTTCTCAGATCACTTGCATGGGCTAGGTGAATTATTCAGTAACGCGTTCACACAGTTCTCCGAGATTGACCAAATACACCATACACATCGCACTACACATCTTAGCATGCTTGAGTCCACGGCACGATTGGATCGTATCTACACTAACATGTTTACCCCTGGGCTCCTTGATCGCGCTCCACCCTCTAGTATCCTCCAGCAGGTGACAGATCTTAAGTTTCCGAGTGATCACGTGCCAGTCTTTGCCAAGTTGCTGCCCGTCGGCCACGAGGCCAAGCCATCGCTGCCCGAGTGGGCGTGCAGGCGCCCGTCTTTCGCCTTGTATGTTGGTGAGCTTGCCGAAAAGTACAAGCCGCACATGTATCCTGCTGACGTTCGTCTTTCAATTACCAAAGATATTCTTTTTGGGGCTTCTGGAACGGTAAAAGCTGAATGTGAGAAAAGAGGGGCCGCCACCATCCCTGAAAAAAATCGCCTGGATGCTGGCCACGCTGCGGGCCATGAGGAGGGGGGACTTTCAGGTTATTCGTCGTGCGGCTCGTGCTTATGAGGTCATCAACCAGTATGTGGACGTCGAGTCCCGCACGTGGGCGGACCTGGAGGGCTTCCACTCGCTCTTAGGTCAGCTCTCCCATGACAACCTAGATGAGTTGCTGAAGGAGTCTGAGGCCACCGAGGCCCCTGCAGGTGTAAAGGCTGCTAGGGCAGCCCAGATTTCCAGGATGCAAGCTGCTTGGTCCCCGAAATAAAAGGGTTTCGTTTGGGTGTGTGTTGGGTCCCGAGGGCCGCCCGATTCAGGGCCCTGAGGAGGCCATTCAAAAGCTCCGTGAACACTGGGGTCAGGTGCATGCTGCTGTGGACGTTAGGCCTGAGGACTTAACTGCGATGGGCGATGTTGTGGTTCCCTGGGGCCCTGTTTTTTTCTCCGCTTTCGTTCGGTTCCTTCGGGGACCTCGTGGCCGTCCGTCGTTCCGGCGCCCCGGGGCCTGATGGCATCCCGTATGCCGCCTGGCGTTTTGGAGGTCCGATAGCAGTTGGAGCCTTATTCGCCATGTATCAGGCCGTTCTGTTTCGCGGGCCCGTCGCCCAGAACTTTAACTACTCGGGTACCGTGCTGCTCCCGAAGGGCGACCTGCCCACCAATGATGCTGCTGTCTTCGAGCAGCCGTCTGACGCGAGGCCCATCGCGCTCTCGGGCACTATTAATAAGTTCGTGGCCTCCGCTGTCTCGCAGCCCTTCACAGAGCACGCGCAGGCAGCTGTCGCTGGCTTTCAGAGAGGTTTCGTAAAAGGGCGTTCCCTCGTTGACAATCTCATTCAGTTGAGTACTGAAGCCATCCTGTGGTACACTGCATATGGTTGTCACAACGCTGGGTACGCCCTTTTCGATATTAAGGCGGCGTTCCCGAGCCTTGCCCATAAGTTCATAAATCATGTTTTACGGGTCGCTCAGGTTCCGCAGCCCCTTCTGGACGCCGTTGACGCGTTGTACAATAACCTCTACACTAACATTCGCTTCGGGGGTCGCACGTACGAGGGGTGCTCTATCGGCCGCGGGATCAAGCAGGGGTGCCCGCTCTCGGGGGTCATTTTCGCCATCGTCGCCGACCCTCTCCTTCGTTCCCTCCATCGTCCCCTCATTCACCAAGATGCTTGTTTAACCGCATATGCTGATGATACTGGTCTTGCCGCAGCTGGCCTATTTAAGATATTGCCTATGGCGTTGCGCTCGTTTGTGCAGATAGGTAAGTCCAGCGGTCTCTTCTTGAACCTTGGCAAGTGCGCGTTGGTTTTCCTTGGGCCGAAATCTGCGGTTGAGGTCAAAAAATCGTTCAGGGAGCTCGGGGTCAACGCCAGTCGTTTTAAGATTTTGGACCGTGGGATGCACCTGGGATTATTCGTGGGCGCGGACGCGCATATCTGGTCCTGGACTGCCCCATCCGAGAAGCTTCGCAGTCGCGCCATCACATTCGGTCGCTTAACCTGGGGCTCGTCAGGAATATTGCAGCGTATAACCTGATTGGTCACACTGTCCTTAGCCACATCCAGCAGTTCTTCATGCCCACGCCTGCCGTCTTTAAAGCAATCCGTGAAAGTGCCCAGCTGCTGACAGCCGCGCCGCGGTTTGCGATCACCAGTCAGATGCTGGAAAGTCCTGAGCTCATAGGTCTTCCTCAACTCCGTCGTCTCGAGGTTGAAGGTCGCGCTGCAATGTTTCGTTGTGCCCAGAAGTCTGCCATGTATCATCACTTTGTCGAGAGGCTTGAGGATGCCCGCGACGACCCCCGGCATCGCGTGGCATTCGAACATCGCCCCATGTTTAAGCAGTCTATCTTCCATCAGCTCTATAGCAATTATAATCACATTTGTAGCTTGCCCAATTTTCACCGTCGTATCCCTGATGTAGACAGGCTTGACATTCAAAGACTCATGTCTCGCTTCTTGCGCGAGTCTTTCCCTGCCCCCTCGTTCGTGCCCCCTCTTTTTCGCCGTCTGCTCCACCTGCTTCCTGATGCTCACGTGCATGACGCTGATGCGCGTGCAATTCGGCTGGGCGTTATCAGTCAGCATCTCCCGACGTTTGTAACATGCGCTGTGCTCAGAAGTATGTGTAACGCATGGTGTACATCCCGCAGATGTCGGCAGGGATGTCAGACGCGCAGAGCTGGATGTAATGCAGTTGGCGGCGATGACCTTCGCCACTACATGATCTGTCCCATTTTAGCTACCGCTGCCTCCAACCATCTGCGTTCTCTGCCCCTGTGTTGGCCCGATCTCTCGGCTGAATCCCGCATTGTTCTCTCTCGCGCGCCCGTGTCTGCCACTGAACGTCTCCCCTCCATTGCCATCGTTCACGATCTCACGCCCGCTGCTTTCAATCAGATTAGAGCTGCCGCCACCGTCTCGGCAACAGCTGCTCGGAGAGCCGTTGATGCCAGAGCCCGTCTGCTCGCCAAGCGCTCCACGGCGCTGCGAGCACTGCTGGCCAGAAGCACCACGGTCCGAAGCTGAGGGGATCATCAGCATCATCAGCACCACCATGATCAACAGCAGCAGCATGATCATCATTCTCATCACCATCAGTTTAATCATCATGGTCAGCAACAGCATCATTATCAGCATCATCATCAGCAACATCAGCGTCACCAGCGTCAGCATCATCAGCATCAGTATCATAATCGTAATCAGCATTATCAGCATCAGCATCAACATCCTAGTCATTATCCTCGTCCTCCTCATCATCAGCATCAGCAGCATCATCATCATAATCAGCATCGTCAGCATCCGCGTCATCATCATCATCAGCAGTGGCATTCTCTCCCCCGTCCCCATCCTCCCCATCTCATCCTTCCCCTCCCCTAGACCCCCCCCCCTCTCCCCGGCGCCCCCCCCCCCCCCCCCCCCCCCCCCCCCACCCCCCCGCCCCACCCACGCACGGCACGCACACACGCACACACACACAACACACACACACACACACACACTTTCATCCTCCTCCTCCTCCTCCTCCTCCTCCTTCTCCTCCTCCTCCTCCTCCTCCTCTCTCCTCTTCCTCCTCCTCCTCCTCCTCCTCTCTCCTCCTTCTCCTTCCTGCTCCTCCGCATTCCTCCTCCTCCTCCTCCTCCTCCCCATCCTCCCCTCCTCCCCCTCCCCCTCTTCCTCCTCCTCCCCCTCCTCCTCCTCCTCCTCCTCGTCCTCCTCCTCCGCCTCCTGGTCAACATCAACATCATCAGCATCAACATCATCATCATCATCAACATCGGCAGCATCATCATCGTCATCATCACCACCAGCGTCATCATCAGCGCCATCATCATCATCAGCAACAGCAGCAGCATTATTATCCTCAGCAGCCTCAGCATCATCAGCATAATCAGCATCATCATCATCATTCGTAACATCAGCATCCGCATCACCATCAGCAGCATCAACATCAACAGCATCGACAGCATCATCAGCAGCAGCATGTGCGTCGGCATCATCAGCAGTATCATCACCAGCAGCAGCATCATCAACACCAGCATCAGCATCATCACCACCGTCATCCTCATCAGCATCTTCATCAGCAGCAACGTCACCATCAGCAGAATCGTCACCCGCAGCATCATCATCAACCTCAGCATCATCAGCATCATCATCTCATCATCATCACGATTCACGTCATCATCCTCCTCTTGGCCATCGTGATTACCATCATCACCAAGATCATCCATGTCCTTCTCCTCTTCCTCCTCATCCGTCTCTTCCTGCTCCTCCTCCTCTTCCTCCTCCTTCCCCTCCTCCTCCTCTTCC